CCGTAGCGTGGAGGTAATTGTCAACAACAGTAATAGGACCATTACAAAATATATTAATATACTTTAAAAACCTTTTCATAGAAATTTATATGAGAAATTTGACAAAAATTTCATAATTTGTGTGAATTTTGATGGAGATTGTTTATTCCAGAATTTTCAAATTTTGATAATAATATTTTTAACCTTTTACAGATTATTTACTCAATGAAGGAAACAAATTTTGTCTAGCATTATTTAATGATAAAAGAAATAAAGGCTAACCCAGATTCTGCTCTTGAAATTTGGCATTTAAAATCCTTTTCAACTCGACTGTGTTAGAAATACCAACTTTATTAAAGCAAATAGAATTTCATTTGTGGATAAAATCAGTAAGTTTGGAAGTTTCGAAAGCATTATGAATGAAAGCATTCTGAATGAAATACGAAGTATCAGCTATTTGATCTTTAACGGGCTTTTCTTCCCCAGCAAACTGTCCGTTTCTTCAATTCCTTTCCGTTAACCTTTACACACGCAGGTGAGATCACTATGAGAGGAATGATGAAAGTGTAAATACGGCGTTTCAAGTTTAGACTTGTAAAAGAATTTTTTTTTCTTCAAGAGATTTAAGTTTTTGGATAATACTAGTAGTTTTAACTATATGATGGGCCTATACTTCTGGGAAAGCCTTTGATTAATGATGATGTGTGGCGAGTTCTACCTGGCAAAAGAGGTAGAAAAATTTTTTGAAACAGTTCTTCGTCTTCGTGTGTCATAACAACCTAGGCATTCTATCATGAATGTTGCAGTAATTACTTAAACTAAGTTTTGTTATATACCTTTTTTCCTCTCTTTTCAAATTTGTCTCATAAGCTAGGGATGCACCGTGTTGTCCAATAAATATAGTAATCCTTAACATAGCGCAAGTTTAGCTGCGAGGACGTTAACATTATGCAACTACAACTTAAATGTCGCAGATGTTGCCATATATCGCCTGATTAATCACACTTGTGATCAGGACCGTCTCAACGCATGGACCTAACTTGGCACTTCCCAAGATAGTAATCCATTTATACTTAATTTACGTTTCATTTCTGTGAGTGGTTGTAGAGAATCTAGCTCAGTGGTTTGTCCAGGGGCCCATAATTAGAATCAAATTTTTGATAAGACTGCGATTACCAGTATTCAGGAGTTTTAGAATATCAGTATTCAGCAGTAATACTCAGTAATGAATGATACTATATGAAAATAGCAGTATTTGGAAGTTTGATATGCTTCTTTTAACCTATATGGTAAAAGACTCACAACTGCTTAAGGAGAGGAACATCTTAGTGGAGGACTTTTTATGGAATACTGGCTTATATTTACGTTATAATGTAATCTGTGCAACGTAATCCGTTGTAACGTAATCATATTTACGTTATAACGGTCACGGGTTAAACTGTGAAGATAACCAAACAGTTGGCATTTCACCCAAATCATGTTGGAAAGAATTTTCAGGCTAAAAATTGTGAGGCAAAGCTATCTCGGACTCATTCAAGAAACGTCTTGTCCAAAAAATATAATTTACATAGTTTAATTTTTTAAAAATATTTAACTTCCTTCTCCCCCTTCCTCGAGAGACCAAGTAATGACCAAATGACACGACCGTTGAACAAGTGGGATTCGATCCGGATTCAAATCTCGAAGAACACGTTGCTGCGTGAAAACTTTCATAGTTTTCTTGGTCATGTAACTCAAGCCAGGCTCCCTTAGAAAGTTCTCCGCAAAGACGTTTCTTCCCTTAAGCAGATAGCTAGCTCTAAGGTGTTTGTCATAATCTAAAAATTAATAAATAATAATCTGTACTTTAACAGTTCTAGCTGAAGCTAGGTATAAAAATCAAATTCAATCGAAATAAGAATTTTTAATTTAAATATTAATAGCAAACCTATGATATTGTTACTATTCAAAATACATAATTATTCTTATTCGCATTTTATTTGCTGGGGCTTTCATGTTCATTTTTTGTGTGTAGAGCATTAAATTAAGAAATAATTTCTTTGAATACATTAAACGACTCGCGTATCTCATGTATTAACTAATTCTATTGGAGAAGAAACTAAAAAATAAAAATAAATAGTAAAAGGAAAATAAGTGTTAAAAAAGATGTGTAATAAATAACAAATAGAAATAGATTTCGAATATGAAAAAGCTTTTTTGATAAAATAATTTAGCTAATAGATATTAAAATAGCGTTCAGAAAGCAAATTCCACAGCTTAATACACACGTTCTTTGAGCTAAACAAATTTTCTGATTATATATAGCGCTGGGAAAGAAAATTCTTTTAAAAATGAAACATAAATATGTTATGCAAAATTTCACGAATCATTTACAATGATAGACTTTTAAGATAATAAGTTTGAGAATCATAAAGAGAATCGCTCACTTAATTTTGTTGATAACTTCTTATTGCCTGACATCTTGGTTATTGCACTTAATAATCCATTTTAAAATCATGGCAGCTTATTTGCAGAAAAGGGGGAACAGAAGTCCTTAGTGCAAATTATGATACAGAATGTGTTAGTAGATTTGGATACTTAAATTTAGGATGATTAAAAAAAAACAAAAATTAAAGTTTTTTTTTTTTTTTTTTTTTTTTTTTGTAAGTTTAATTTTTTTATTCAGTACTTTAAACTTAAAGCCTGAAATTGAAAGGTTTAAAGAGATAATTTAATAAAATAAAATAAAGGCAATACCAGTTCAGATGTAAATCATTCACTTCTTTTTATATTTCTTGTTATTAGCAGGAAATATTTAACTTTCTTTGAGAGTTAAGATATTTACAGAGTTTCTTTTGTTTGCTTAGAATTGGACATAAAAGTCTAAAAATAACTCTCCTATGAAAATGTAATTTTGTTCATTTTATTATGGTTTCTTAATCAGGCTAATTACTTTTAATGGTATAATTTCGTAATTAGGAATGCATTTCCTGTTTTATTATTTAGAATCTAACATAAACTTTGTTTCAGAGTAAGTTGTTCTGTACAAATGAATCTTTTGTATTTAATTAAAATTAAAGTTTTAATAAATAATACCGCTATAAAATATTATGGCATTAAAACTTTATTCCAAGAACTCCCAGTTTCAGAAAATCTGAACGTTAGTAAACAAAAATTATTCGATTTGTCTTGTGTCTCAGCTTTCTCGTTTTTGACGATGTTAAACATTATTCGATAAAAGCGAGTGTAATACATCTCATTGCAGACTTTTATTCGGCTGAATTAATTCTTCATTTCGTTTCTGACCATTTTTAGCTAGTGCTTAGCCTAAATTGCATTTTTAAGAAGGAGAAAAAAAAACGAAAAAAAAAGTTTTATAAGCTCTCTTTTTTTTTTTTTTTTTTCCCCCATGTAGGATTATGTTTCTCCGTAATGGCCTGATGGGAAAGCAAAAATTAAGACGCTGTTTGTGCCCGAATGCTTATATCTTCGAACCTACAAATGTTACAGTCAATCTAAGTACATCATTAGATATATGAAAGAGCACAGTAGCAACACACATACACAAAATTGAATTGTACAAAATAACGCGTCAAAAGTAGCTAAATTTGGTGAAATGAAAACTCTTTACTCATGCGCGACCGCCTGTGAGCGACAAGATCCTCTTGTAGACAGGCGCGTAGACAGTTAGTGTGTTTGGGTGTTGTTTGCTGTATTTTATTTTATTTCACCAAGGTAGAGAGAGGTGTTGCGATTTTTAGAAATTTGAAGAGTGCAGCAGATTGTGAACCAATAAAATTTACTGCCAAGAAGGGAAGGAGAATACAAGATTCAGATACAGACGATATTTGCATAGTTGATATAATTTTTAATGGATCGTCAAGATTTATTCTAGCATCTGTATATATTTATCCAAATTTTAATTCAGGAGATTTGAAGATGTTCTCTTTCTTGTTGTATTGATGAAATATTCTGAAACTACTATATTGATCGATGAAGAGTTTACTGTAAATTCTTTACATAGAGTCATTTTGAATGAACAAATATAATTAATAAAAAAATAAAATATATGTATGTATAAAGTTGTTTGTTTTATTTTTTCTATAACATCCTCACACTTTCGTTAGTAATCCTACGCATCAAACACCAGTGGCTCTTTAAACTAAATGAGAAAGCCTATCGTCAGTTTTTCTTTTTTCTTATTAATATGAATGGAAACTTATTTTGGTTGTTTGATATTTTTATGATTATGCTTTTGCTTCACAAGCATTTTGTGAGATACGATAGAAGCTTAATTTGAAACAAAGGATCAGAGCTTAATTAATATTTTATTGTATTTAAACTGATTAATTACCATAATTAGGAAATCCTTATACTTTTCCAAATGTATATTTTTTTAAATGCACAATATTATCAGATATATAAATGCTCAAATTCATACAGTCTCTTAATCCTTTGAAGACTGGGACTATAGTTGTACTATATTCACTATAGTATTCATAAAATTATGTGGCAAGCCTGTAACAAAATATTTGAACTTCTACTTACCTTACTTCTAAATTGCATTGCAATACGGTTATGCTTTATACAACTTAAATTTAAGCATTTTACTCCCATTTGAGCATATTACTAGTCATATTTCCTAAATCAAAGATTTGCCAATGATAATTTTATGCGTTTTTTAAGCGCATAAAAAATAATTAGATAACATAATACTGTAATGTTGGTAAATCATATATTGAATTGTGAAAATAAGAAATGGCAGTCATTTAAAATTAATTGAATTATCAATTCCCCTCCCCCACACTAAAAAAAAGAAAAAGAAAGAAAAGACTTTCGGAACAGTAATATATTTAAAATTTTTTATTAGTCGCATATTTATAAAGTTATGTTAGCATTTAAGGTGGGAGAAGAAAGAGGAGCAGCTGTTTGGGGGTAAAGAAATAAATCGCTGCTATGATAATGGGAATGTCCATTTCTAGTTTCGCACCGTGATGTCTAGATTTCGCTTCTGGGTATTTAGTCCCATCAACGCGTTTTCGCCGGGCCCATCACCACTGGTTTAGTTCACCTGCAAGCGCTGAAAATTTCCCTGCGTAAACCACCTGACAAGAGGACGCATTCCATGTAGGGAACAGGGGACGACGGTGGCGAATGTCTGGTTTTGATGTTGCTTGGGTTTGAGCCTTGCAGAGTTGCAGAACGCGCCGGTTCATGATGCGTCGATGACAAGTGCAACGCTTTGGGTATCAAGGGTTTACAGAGAGAAAACGAAACTGATGATGGTCGAAACAGAACCGAAACATTTTTTAATTCAAGGTGATGTTTATGAAGTTGAAAAATTAGTGGGCGTGAAAATCGTGAAGGTAAGCTTTAAATGCCCAGCGTCTGCTAAGATGTAGTTTGTTTTGATATCTGAGCCCAGATGCTTTTCTCTTGCTCGCTTTGCAAAATGTATGCACTGCATTTTTTTACTTATTCTATTGCAGACTCAAAAACAAGAAAAAACTATTTTTGAAATATGCTGAGGTTATATATATATATATATTAGAATGATGCAGGTATCAATATCGTCCAGTATTTGTAATTTCAGCATCTTCAAAGCGTTTAGACGTAGGTTTGTTTACATAAAGAAGTAAAAGGAGCGGGTGACCAAATAACTGACTGTTTTCGATATTCAGAAGTAATAATTTTCAGGTTGTATAATAGGTTAAATAAATATGAATGGCGGTTTTTTTTTTAATATATAATTTTTTTTTTATAATATATAAATAAAGTAATTCAGAATTTCAGTATAAATAGTTGTTACATTAATCGTGTTTTTGATTTAAGTGTATAATAAGTTATACATCAATAATCTGTATATCATTTTAAATGTTAATCAAAATGAATTAGCGTATTAGGTAAATTTTAATGAAAAACTAAGTTTGCAGTCGTTTTTTAAAAATGTATGTAGTAGATTACTTTTCAAAGAAATTTCTTCACAGTTAGTGTTTGCATAAAGGAGCATGTTAATATTTTTCTGTCATCAATACATTCTGTTCATGTGAAAAGTTCGTGTAATAATATCCTGGCTTTAGGGGGAAAAAAAATTTAGTTTTATGCAGATTTTTTGCATTTATTGTGGCTAGCTGATAATGGGGAAAATTCCGAAAAGGGTTTCATCCGCAGAGAACCCGTTGGCGCCGTTGCATTCTTACTCGCCAAGCTCGCGGTTCATCGACGATGAGCCGAGCCGTAAACGTGATTTTTAGTGCATGTAAATTCAAGTTAGCAGATAAAACAATATATTAAGCATATGGTAGTAAAAATTCACAGATAATATGCATGTAGATGTAAAACTAAAGGGTTAAACGTGATATACGAAAATAAATTTGTATTAAAATTCAAGTTAGCACAGAAAAGAATATATTATTAAGCATAAGACAATATATAAGCATTTATAACGGAAATAAAAATTCATTTAAGAAATATAAATTAGTATTAATATACTGAAATTAACCGGTTAAACGTGATGTACGAAAAAAAATTTGTCTTAAATTCCAGTTAACACAGAAAACAATATATTCCTTACACCAGCAGTTGGTTTGCTAATTTTGATGACCATGGTGATGCATCAAACTATTCTGTCATCTTAGATAATCAATATTTTTTATTTCAATTTAATCATCTGTTTATTTATGCCACACCTGCCATCCTCTGAAAGGTTTATTGTTAGAAAAGCATTAACAATATATTATCTTGTTAAAATTTTACACCCCATAAAAATTGATTTATTCTCATAAGTTTAAGATGACAATTACCAATAATAAAAATAAAAGCATTACTTAATTAGTTAAAAGTGCACATGCACATTTTTGCGGTCTACGAAAACAAATTATTGTAGAGACGTTGGAAACCTCATAGATTCTGCTCATGGTTCTTAGAGCTATTAATAATTAAGAACACAACGTGAACAGCCGTGTTACAAAAATTCACCCCAGCATTCCCGTATTTTCTCCCGCCGTATTTTCATTCCCGAACGAAGAGAACCGGCATCTATCTACGAAAATATTTCTAATCTATTCGTTGTTAAAAAATTCAGAAAAAATAATAATAAATAAGAGAATGAATAATATAAATCTGCAAATGGAACAACGACAGTCTTAATTCAACTAAATAAACGCAAGAGGAATGGTTGCAAACTTCGAACAAGGGAATGGGATAAATCCGAAGGGTTACCAAGTTAGAACTAGTATCGCCAAAGTTGGCGATGTTGACATTTACCGGGTTCTCTGCGGAAGTGCTTCCTGGGGAAAAAATTAAATAAGGAAGTGTTTTTCTTTATAAAGGCTGTACTCTTTCAAAAGGTGTTGTAATAATTTTAAGTGAGGTCTTGTACAGTGTGTGGAACAAGCATCACATAGCTCAATCAAATATACAAACTAAATTTGTAATCGTCTATCTTGCATAATTTTAGGAAAGTTTGTCAGTATTTTTTTATTGTCTTCCAGAAAGCCAGCATGTGCAGTTATCAAAATAGTACTGGCGAATAATTTGTGTGTTTAAGGAGGTTTAGAATATAAGACATAGCATTGATTGTCTTAGTTAAAATTGTCCAGTAAACTAATGCTTATTGTCATAAGGTACTTGTTCTAGAGAGAAACAAAATATATGCCATTGTAATACAAAATATTTATTAGTTTATATGATGCGATTAGTTATAATTTGTCATCAAAGGCTGAGCATTTCTTAATACTATAATTCAAAATTTTCCTTTTATTTTATACTGTATCAGTTTGGTGTTTTAATTATAATTTTTGCTCTGAAATCTCTGAAATAAAGTAATAGAAAAGTACAGTTGTTTGTCTTACTATGTTACAAATTCATAGTTTATAATCCCTTAAGTTAACAACTTGTAATGAAGATTTGTGATTTGTATGATTAAGAGAATGAAATTGCTCATTCTTTTGCAATAGCAATTTCTGCTAAATGGAAAGGATAAAGAAATGTTTTTTAGTTATCTGTGAAAGTTGTTGTCTGTTTATCAATACAAACTGAAATAAATTTTAAGGAAATATTTTATATAATAATTACATATTTTTTAGGATTGAGTCTTTTCATATAATGTAAGAATCTTTGGTTAGAGAAATATGTAAAAATTCGAAATCATCTATAATATAATCCTGCCACAAAATCTATAATTTCATATTATGTATCTTGAAATATTTAAAATATGGCTGTCATAATCATGAGGAATTTTTTTTGGGGGGGGGAACAGATTCAGAAAAATATGTATCTATGTATGGATGCATGTGTTTATGTATATATGTACAATATATACATATGTGCCTATACGAACACACACACACATATACATACGTACATGCATGCACATAAGTGTTTCTGAATCTGGCCCCAATAACATAAGAGCACCGAATATTTTTTACAGTATATAAAAATGGTATAAAGTGGTGAAACATAAGAGATTCATTTCAAAAGTGAAAAAGTTTAACATTCAAAGGGGAAATATATTAAAAAAAAAAAAAAAAAAGATGACTAAAACCCTTTATCGGGAAAACATTTGTGTGCACTTGCAGTATTAGTTTGACAAATCTAGTTACACATAATATGTAACACAAAAATCCCAATTCTGTTACAGTGGTTAAAATGTTTAGTATAACATTTATATATACTATATATATTACTGGTAATCTACTGTGAAAACTTGAAAAATGATCCAAATTATCCATTTATCAGTTAAAATGATATCTTATTTTTGTCCATATCATAGATTCACTGCAAAAGAGCACTATGAAAACTATTTAGTAATTGCAAACAAAAGAACTGAAAGTGTGTATAAACATTGTACTGTTAATTTCACATTTTGCATAATTTTAATTCCTTTTAAATTTCTCCTTTTTTTGCTTTTAATGTACATTTTCACACTGTTAATGTATGTTAAATTTCATTATATTATTGTGAATTTTTTAACAGTATGAAATATTTTGCAGGGAAAGAAACTATACAGAGTCCGGTGGCGTGGTTACGGTAAAGAAAGTGACACTCTTGAGCCAGAAGAAAACCTTCTCTCCTGCAAAGATATGATTCTAGATTTGGAAGAAAAGATGAAAAAAAGAGTTGAAAAGAAAAAAATTAAGAAATCCTTTAGAACTCAGACTATAATTAAAGATTCTCAAATATCAGTGAGTTAATAATTGAAATTTGTTTTCATATCTAAAAATCAATCGGTCATATCTAAAATTTATACGCATAATTTCTGAATCTGTTTGATAATTCTTACGCATTATTCAATTAGCTGGTATAAAACTCAAAAAAATTTATGAAATCATAACTCTTACCACCATGAAATTAAATCCAGCAGTTCTGATTTCTAACTACATTAATATTTAATTGTAAATAAAAATGAAAGCAAAATCATCACACTTGTAGCCATTAATTTATGCACATTCTATGCAGTGCTGTTATAAATGTTTCAAAAAAGCAAATTCCTGTTTTTTTGTAATAAAAAACCTGGTTAATGAGCAAACTATCTTGCTAGAGCTGTAATTTACAACAAAAATTTATTTTGTGAGAGGTGTTTCATAATGTGCCAAGAAGCATATCCGCTTAATCTTTGGGATATGGTAACAGGTAGTTTGACGACATTTTGGTAAGGCGATAAAGGTTACTAGCTAGGACTTTAGCAGTGTAAATGGATAAAGTCAAGAGTGTGCGCAATGCCATTTTTATGCAATTCTGGGCTGTTTTTTTAAGTGAAAATAGGTCGACGTGTACATGGATACCGTGTATGTGCAATTCTTTAAAAACGTGGCAAGCAGTTTGCGATTCTGCACTTTCTCTTCTCCCATTTCGCACCTAATCTTCGCCATGATTAAGCACTTTTGTACCATAAAAGTTCTAGCATAAGCGTAATTTGGCTAGCAGATTGTTGGAAAAAAAATGTTGATTTAAAAAAAAAAAAAAAAAAAAAAAAAAAAAAACAACATGCGTTTACTTTGTGAAAACAAAAACTAGCAGGTTGCTGTAGCAGGGTTAGTCGCCAAAATTTCGCCAAAAAATCGCCAAGTTACCATAATCCAAAGATTAACCACATATCCTTTCAAAACATGTAGGCAATAAATCTGTGTATCTTAAAAACTCTGTATTTTCTGCTTATACAGTCTAAAGTCGTTAATTCGGACACCCATAATCCAGAATGATCTATAATCCGGACCTCAAAGCTAAAAACTTTTTGTGCATGCGTCCCTTTGAATCGTCAAGTTACCATAATCCAAAGATTAACCACATATCCTTTCAAAACATGTAGGCAATAAATCTGTGTATCTTAAAACTCTGTATTTTCTGCTTATACAGTCTAAAGTCGTTAATTCGGACACCCATAATCCAGAATGATCTATAATCCGGACCTCAAAGCTAAAAACTTTTTGTGCATGCGTCCCTTTGAATCGTCAAGTTACCATAATCCAAAGATTAACCACATATCCTTTCAAAACATGTAGGCAATAAATCTGTGTATCTTAAAAACTCTGTATTTTCTGCTTATACAGTCTAAAGTCGTTAATTCGGACACCCATAATCCAGAATGATCTATAATCCGGACCTCAAAGCTAAAAACTTTTTGTGCATGCGTCTCTTTGACGCATGCGCGTAAGACCTTTACGGTTGCGAATATTCGTGTGCGCATGCGCATAATACGTTTACGCATGCGTGTTTAATGTATAACAGACGGTATAAGGGGGGACGCCGCGACGCGAAATGAATTGGAAGTTGATCTGTCAGCACTATCCTTATCTTCAGGGCACATGTTTTTATTTTATTTGGCTTATAATTCCTTATTAAATGTAGTATTTCATCTCGATGTACTCCGTCTTTGATACAATTTAAATCAAATTCCTCATCATTATAATTCACTTCCGATAGTGAAGAAAGTGAGATTGATCTTTACAATATGGGAACTGGTAGTTTGGCAACATTTTGGAGGCGATAAAGGTTACTACCTGGCACTTTGGTAATAATGTGAGCGGTACTCAGTTCTGATTACACATTATTTTGTGTGAGGGAAATGAGAGATCATGGGATATGTCATGTGATATTAATGGACGAATTATGGTTCTTTAATCGGAAAAGGGGGAAAATCGGGAAAAAATCTGAAAATTTTGTATTTGGCTTTATTCTGTGTTGTGTGAAACAGTGTTCGTGAATTTTTGGATCCCATGGCCGTAACTAAAGTGAATTCGAAATGGGTTTTTATGTATGTATTAATTTAATGTATGTGCTCATTTATATTTTAAGCAGTGCTTTTGAATTTAATTATATTTTAATGAAATGATAGTTATTTTGTGAATTTTATGTTTGTAGGAATTTGGTATACGTTTTAGTTGAAGTAAACGTGCATGGAAATAATTTAAATATCTGACACTAAGTATTTGTAATGGTTGCGGTATGAATTCGTTGGTGATATGTATAATGTAATAGATGATTTATAGGTAAAAGTTTTTGGATATTTTATTTATTTTATATGTGGAAATGTTCATTACTTTTTCGCGATCAGGTCATTTCATATATGTTCTTTTTTTACCGGGTTTAAAGATTGAGAAAATTGTCATGTATTTTCGTGAATTTTTCTAATTTATGAGAAAAAGCAGTGTACATGGATATAGTGAAGAGTGTGCGCAATGCCATTTTTGTGCAATTCTGGGATGTTTTTTTAAGTAAAAAAAAGTCGACGTGTACATGGTTTAGTGATATTTTAATTAAATGATAGTTATTTTGTGAATTTTATGTTTGTAGGAATTTGGTACACGTTTAAGTTGAAGTAAACGTGCATGGAAATAATTTAAATATTTGATACTAAGTATTTGTAATGCTTGCGGTATGAATTCGTTGGTGATGTGTATAATGTAATAGATGATTTAGAGGTAAAAGTTTTTGGATATTTTATTTATTTTATATGTGGAAATGTTCATATTTGGAAAGGGTAGATACTTTTCCGCGATCAGGTAATTTCATATATATTCTTTTTACCGGGTTTAAAGATTGAGAAAATTGTCATGTATTTTTCGTGAAATTTTTCTAATTATATTATGAGAAAAAGCAGTGTACATGGATATAGTGAAGAGTGTGCGCAATGCCATTTTTGTGCAATTCTGGGATGTTTTTTTAAGTAAAAATAAGTCGGCGTGTACGTGGTTTATGTGTATGTGTTATTTTGAAAAACGCATAAGAAGTATGGTATTGTGCACTTTTTCCCAATTTTGTAGTGAATATTTGTCATGATTAAGCAGTTTTGTTAGATAAAATTTCTAGCATAAGTGTAATTCGGCTAGTAGATTGTTGGAAGAAGTGTTCAGTAGATAAAAAGAAAAGAAACATGTCTTTACTTCGTGAAGACAAAATGGCGGCGGGAAAAAAAAATAGAGGGTTGCTGTAGGAGAGTTGGTCGCCAAATTTTCGCCAAAAAAACGCCAAGTTACCATAATGTAAAGATCAACCGAAAGGGACACAGAGGTTATTGAAAACGAAAAAATTTCGATTGACAAATTAATCAGTATTCTCGTCACAGCAATTATAGAACTTGAACAGTGGAGCTTTGTAACTGAAGAAGAAAGAATTAAAGAGAAAGTATTATCACATAAAACGAAGCAACTTAAACAATTTACATTGAAAGAAATATTTAATAAAATAAACAAATAAATATTAAGCTTTTTTTTTTGTAAATTTTTGTATCCTTTAGATCATAATTGTTCTTTATTTCATAAATTATGGTTTCATATTTTTAATTTTATGATTTCTGCATGCCATCTTACGATATTTAAAGTGATGATCTATAATCCGGAATTGCCGAAGTGCCGACAAGTCCGGATTAACGACTTTTGACTGTATATGCAGATTTTTGCTACATTATGTCTCCTATAGCTGTGAGAGTGCAGAAAGGTAGCTTAATTGGATTCCATATCTGCATTGTAACAGTTTTAAAAAGTGAGAAAACAGAAATTAATATTTTAAATGTTTGATAAGATCTTTCAGAAATGAAGCAGAATAGCTCAGAGCATGACAAATGCTTAGAAATTAAAAATCAGTAAGCATAACATCAGGGTGTTTCACATGTACTGTGAAGAAATTTATTCTGTCATATATAAATGTAGCAATAGCAAGTCATCAACAACTTCTTCCGAGAAAAATTGCATTTCAGATTACCGTATTATAAAATATTGAGCTAGGACTTTAGTGGAAGCAGCAGAAATGTATGTCAAAAAATGACTAGTAATGGCATGGGTTACTTCTAAAAAAATAAGCCAAAGCCTATTTTGATTCCAACTCAAGGGAAAGGGGATCATTTTATATGAGCCCAATGGCAAAGCTTGAGTTTGTCTGATCAATCATTATTCTCAATCTTGTTTGAAAATATTAGGCATAGTGTCATCAGCTGAACAAATAAAAGATATTTGCTAAATTGTGGGAAGTAATAAAATAAATTTTAAGCCATTAAACCTGTGTGGGTGTGTTTATGAGCCATTGGTTTCAGATTCAAATTGCATGTGGGCTGAATGCACAATCTACAAACAGGCTAAATTCTGCCCCAGCCAGAAAGTTTTGTGTTTTTTTTAAAACAAAACTTTTTACTTAAATTTTGAGGTTGATGTCTGCAAGAAATTTCTGATAGTTACTGTCTGTAATTCAAGCATATTGATAGCTAAATATTAAATTTTCAGATTGACATTTTTTCAAATAATTGTATATATGTTGAGTAAACTACTAAATAAATCATTTTTATCTTGAAACTAAAAATAAACAAATTGCAAAAGCTTTCCAAGTGAGACAAAACTTGAGAATAAATAATGGCAACCAGGTCTCTTTCATTTCTTTATTAAATTTTTCTTTCACTTTTACAGAAAGAATACAGATATTTGTATTTAAATAATTATAAATTCTTTATTTCTTTATACAACTTTAAGTTACAACACCTCATAGCATTTCAAGTTTTTCTAAAGTTTGCAACCCTGAAGAAAAATTACTTGAAACTAGCACCAACATAAATTGTAGAAGTTCATCAGTCAATCTGGTTCTTTTTTTTTTTTTTTTTTTTGATTTAATTAGTTTTAACTGTGGCAAATAAAGAATGTTTGCATATAAATATACTCGCAACCAAAGCAATTTAAAAAAAAAAGCTGATCAACTCCGT